CGTCGAACCTAAGAAAACGCAGAGACTCGGGTATCTCGCGCGGCAGAATATTTTGTTCATCATCTATGAATATTATAGTATAGTATGTGTTACAAATACATTTTACACAGGATGTTGAAAAAATGCAGGGAAATAAATACAACACTACAATTTTTTTCGTATTTTTCTATTGATATAAAATACATATATTATCTGTATCATCAATACCTTTACTTATTTTACTGCATTCTCGAAAGTTAATTTATGCCCTCAAAACAACATTTAGGTGAAAATTTACACTTTGTTTCTTCATTTTACAGTATTTTATGCAAAATTTATTTTGGATGAAACCGTATTTTCATATTGGTATATAATATGTATATTATCTGTATCATTAATACATATACGTTGGTTATACCTTAATCCCGAATATTTACGTATTATATACATTGCTTGCTACATGGGTAGCTGTTTATATCTAAATGTAAACAATAATATGCACCAGGAAGTTGTGCAGTGATTTTTGTATAGCGCATGTTTACTGCAATAAACATAACCTTTGATCTTTAATTTTTACATTGATATGTAGGTCTCCTATAACACATTTGCTTTATGTTTACATTAAATAAAAACTAATTAGGAAATGTAATGGTTTTGATTTTACTGAGGTCTGTTTATTCTGTATGTGAGTATTTTTGTGCCATGATAAAAAGTATCGTTCATAGCTTGAACCGAAAGTACCAAAGAACTACAGCTTTTTTAGCCAATGTTAAGTTTCAAATTATTTACACAGCATTATACCTTCCGCAAAGATTCGTGGCGGCTGAGGGATTAGGACGATCGGGTTGTGTCCCAGCCCCTAAATTAGCCCTCGCTCGACTGCTCTGGGTTTTGACCATGAGTCACCCACTAGGCTCAATGCATAGTTGGAAGAATTTTTGTATATCACCATAAAGTGTATTAAATGACACCAGTTTTGTAACCTCTGTCAAATAACAAGAACATTCATGGTATATTAACAAAAATAAACAGCCATATGAACCAGTTGGCTTTGTTAAAGCTGGGGGAAGAGCCGATCAGGTTTTAGATCATAAGAACATCGATGGAGAAAACTTGAGAGACAATGATTTTTTAGTAGTTCTCTGTGGCACTAATGATGTATCTTGTAACGAAGCACACTTGGCCATTGACTCCATAACTAAGACTTTAAAAAAATACCATAAACAAAAAGTTATTCTGGTTGATCTTCCTAATCGATATGACTTGGTAGAATGGTCTTGTGTGAATGTGGAAACAAGAAAAACCAATGTGATTCTTAAAGGTATTTGTGAAGAACTTGACAATGTTTCTCTGGTGGAAGCCAGCAAAGCTAGTAGAGACCTCCACACAAGACATGGAATGCACTTAAACCAAAAAGGAAAAATTTGGCTAGCAGACAAGATAAGGATAGCAGCAACCTCAAAGGCAAGACAGACTCCATCATCGTCACCGGCAACGGAGGATATCACCATCAGTGAGCAATCAGCACTGATAGACATCATATCAAGCCCTAAGCAGTCATCAGAAGGACCTACATCGGGAAACGCTCCACTGGTAGTGCACCATCTAACAACTTGATGCATTGTGAGGTTGATAGCTTAAGCACTAATTTTAATTGTAGTTTAAACAGCAGACTTGTATGTAATTTAGCAGGTATCCCAAAGATAAGTAAACCAAAACCAACTGATTCTGGTGTCCGTGTGTTGCATTTAAATGCCCAGTCTATAAGAAATAAATTGAATGAATTAGCTGTTGTTTTAGATGATGCTAAATGTGATATTGTCCTCATTAACGAGCACTGGTTGCACAGATTAGAAGTCTCCTTATATGTTCCAGTAGGTTTTAAATTGGCTTCTTCATTTTGTAGAGAGAATGCTTATGGAGGTGCCTCTATTCTTGTTAGGGATGACATTTCTTTTGAGGTGATCAATATTGGTCATTTAACGGAAGTTGGTATCCTTGAAGCTGTTTGTATATATGTAAATATATTTAATGTGATGTTCATATCTGTTTACAGAACTCCCAACTCTAACTGTAAAACATTTCTGGATTATCTTGACAATCTTCTGTACTACGTGCAAAGAAAAAAACCTAAATGCAAAATTGTACTTGGGGGAGATTTTAATATTGACATCTTAAAGAGTGTGGACCAAGACACTGTAATGTTTGTTAACCATTTAAAGTCATTTAACCTCAAATGTGTAAATAAATTTCCAACTAGAAACAAAACCTGTATTGATAATATAGTTACTGATTTAGATGATAGTCTTTATAAAACATGTATATGGAAGGACAGGATCTCAGATCACTCGATTATTTACTTTGAATTTAATGTGCCTACCTTTGTTTCCCAATCTGTAAATATTTCATATAGGAAACTAAATGATGAGACTTTGCATGAGTTTATTGAAGCAACCTCCATATTAAATTGGGACTTGTTGTATGGTATTGAGGATGTTAATTTTGCATTTGAATACTTTGTAACTAAACTATCAACCGTGTATAATAGCTGTTGTCCAACAAAGAGTAAAAAAGTTCAACAAAGAAAACCAATTAGACATAATTCTTCATGGTTTGACCATAGCTTAAGAAGAATGAGAAACACAGTAATTTTGTTGCAGGATCTATTAAAGATACCAAATTATAAAAATAACATGACACTGAAGAACTACTACAAAGAAAAAAAGAAATTGTACAGGTCTAAAATAAAGGAAGCCAAAATCATGCACAATGAAAGCAGAATAAAAAGTTCTAAGAATAAGTGTTCAGCTGCATGGCAAGTAATTAAATCAGAAGCTGGTAACTACTATCAGCGGGAAAATCCAATTCCACCTATTTCAGCTAATGAATTTAATGATTACTATATAAGTATTGGGAAAAAGGTGCTTGATAGTACTAAATTAACTAATAAAGGTAATTTGAGTTATTTCACCTTTCTAAACAATGTAGACCAGCCTCCTGATAAATTTAAGTTGCATTATGTTAGTGAGCTTGATGTGCTTAAAATAATGAGATCTCTGAAACCATCTAAGAGTGAAGATATTTTTGGTTTTAGTAACAGAGTTATCAAACATATTGCAGCTAATATTGTATCACCTTTGACATATTTGATCAATCTCTCCTTTTATTGCTCCTTGTTTCCTAATTGTTTAAAAATGTCCAAGAGTATACCGCTTTTCAAAAAGGGTGACAGGTCATGTATTGATAACTATAGAACAATATGTATCGTATCTGTATTTTCAAAAATAATAGAATCATGTGTTAAGAACCAACTCTTAGAATTTCTGGATCAACATAATGTTTTAAGTAGTAGCCAATTTGGTTTTCGACCTGGACGTTCCACAACTAAGGCATTAAATGAAGTTGTAACTGGTATTATTAATAGCTTTGAAAATTGTGATTATGTTAATATGACTCTTGTAGACCTCAGCAAGGCCTTTGATAGTATATCACATGAAGCCCTTCTAAACAAACTAACATTTTATGGTATAGATGATAAGCAGATGCAATTCTTTAAAACTTATCTCTGTGGTAGATTGCACAAGGTTTCATCGGCAGGCATTGAGTCCTCTTTTCAGGAGGTCCTTGCAGGGGTTCCACAGGGGTCAGTTCTGGGTCCACTTTTATTTCTTATCTATATAAACGATCTGCCTAGCAATATTCCTTGTAAAACCATTCTATATGCGGATGACACTTCTTTTGTAGTTACCGATTAAGTGTTAAAAAATGTAAAAGCACACAGTGACAGAGTAATGGAATTAGCCAGTTCTTGGTTTAATGCTAACCACCTTACAGTCAATGCCAACAAGACTGAAACAATCTGTTTTACTTTGAAAAAATTAGACTCAGATGAAGATTGTAAGCCTGTTAGATTACTAGGGGTCACTTTAGATCAGAAGCTTACATGGGAATCTCACACCAACTCAGTAGTTTCAAAACTTTCAAGGGCTTGTTTTTTGCTACGTAAGCTACAACAATGTGTTGGTAGAAATATGTTATTAAATACTTATTTTAGTGATTTTCATTCCCATTTGCTGTATGCCACAATGCTCTGGGGAAATAGTAGAGGTGCTATCCATGTTTTTGCTTGGCAAAGAAAAGCAGTAAGGATTATAGCCAATCTACCTTATCAAGATGACTGTAAGCAATGTTTTATTGATTACAATATAATGACTGTCCCTTGCATTTTCATATTTCAAAATCTTGTATATGTAAAGGAAAACCAGAGTGATTATGTATGTTTTGAGAAAGTTCATAATTATAACACTAGAAGAGCACAAGATATTGTCCCACCCTCTTTTAGATTGCGGAAAACAATAGTCAGCCATAAATATCTACAAATCAAGTGCTTCAATAAATTGCCACCAGAGATCAGAAACCTTGAAATCCAACCATTCAAATCAAAACTGTCAAGGTGGTTTATAAATAAAGCGTTTTATTCTCTTGATGAGTTTTTAGCATATAGATTTTAACTTAATATTATTGAGCTTTGATCCAGTGATGCTTTGGTGAATAGTTGTAATTTATTTATTGTTAATTTTCATAGTTTATATTGATTTGTTGCTAATTGTTAATTGTGATGTTTTATCTGTTATCCTGACAAGTACATTGTACTCATCTCCTTTTATACTGCACTTTAATGTATTTCTTTGACGTTGTCTATAGCAATGTAAATTGACAAATGACAAAAAAAAAAAACGAAATAATTGCGACGATATTAAGTATACTTTTGGTTTTAAAATAATACAGTTTTGGTGTCGTGGTATGCTTAATATCATCGCAATTATTTCGTGTTTGGGCTCAATGTTCTTGTTATTTGATGCAGGTTACAAAAATTACGTTATTTAATAAACATTATGGTGATATACAAACATTTTACCAACTATGCATTGAGCCTAGTGGGTGACGCCACGAATTTTTGCGGAAGGTATAGGGCTCCCAAAACAATTACTAATTTTACAGTCAAGAGTTTGTCCTTGCCATTCCAGATTCAATAATAGTTTATTTCAACGAGAATTTCAAATTTGCTAAATTACAGGAAAATTATCAAACAGAATGGATCTACAGTAATAATTATTTACAAAACAACAATAACACAAATGAACACTATTTATCCTGCAGAATGTCTTTCACTTGAATTCTCAAAGGTTGTTCACTTGTGGCTTTTTTATCCAATGCAGCTTTAAAAGAAGAGGCAATATCTGAGCTCTGTGTTTCAGTTGGCCCATAAGTGATTGCTTCTGTTTTAATCACTTGAAAAGCTTCTTGGTAAGCTTCGTCCAAATCCAAATTCTTTTCTTTTTGTATTTTGAGACAAAGTTCTATTAGTTTTTGAGTTAGAGTTTGAAAGTTTGTATCCCTCAAATTTGTTGCAGGCAAACTTCTTCCCATGTCTTTGTGGAACCTCCTGAAACATTAGAAAATTAATGGCGGTTTTCTAAACTTGAAAAAATAATTAGCCGAGGACATCAGTTGTACATTTTTATTGTTTTAAATTGGTCTGCTGATTTTGAAAAAAAAAACCTCATTAAGAAACATATTATCAAACTATATAAAAACTTTCATATACTGTAGAGTGAGTAGTGGGATGTGCATACACACAAGAATGTGGTGGCTGAGTTGGCTGTTGTCAGGAATTAAAATTGAGAAGAACATATTATGTTAATTGTAAACAAAACAGTCAATGTGTAAATTATCTATGTTGTAGTATTAAAAAAGTGTATTGTTTTAGATATTAATACGCTACATGAAACCATTGAATAGTCAAAGATGAAACTTTGTAAACAATAAGGCTTTTTTGTTTTAAGATTTAACCCCACATATTATACCAAAATGTTTGTCTAGCAGTGTTGATTTGCAAACTGACTTTACATTTTTGAAAAAGTCCCTTGGGCTCTGCAGTGCCCCTGTGGCTTTTAAAGTTCCCATGTTATCCTTATGAAGAACATATTTGTTTACATTATGATCACCTGGATAATTTAATTCCTGTTCATATTTTAGTTGCAATTTAAGGAAACGTGTGCTACAAACATTTACTGATTTGGTTGAAATGAAATATTTACTATTTGAATTTGGGTTGGCGTAAATATTACAATGGGAAAAAGCGAGAAAGCCTGGCCAATTTGATATACTAAAAAGAAAAATGAACACTGTGCTGCATTTCTTGAGCAATCATTGAAAGAGCCGATTTGCAAACTATGAAAACATAGGAAAGTCATAGAACACCACCAAATAAGTTAGAAGAAATAGAAATAATGTTTTTTTTTTAGTTTATAATCGTTATTATGGACAACCTAATGCGGCTATGAGTGGGATACATTTTTAAAAAACACTAAAAAACAAGATCAGCTTTTGAAAAATAGGTAATATTATATTTACAATAAATTTTGATTAACTTATAACGATCTGTTATGTACATCGTGATTATTTCCATAATCTTAAAACAAACTCATTTAAAGTCATCAGAAATTATTACTGTTATTTGTTATAAAATAGCGCGTCATACTTCGCAATTGCTCGAATTCGAGCAACAGGTACACTAGCAATTCTTAATTATGGCTGAAAATTTTGTTGCTATCTGTTGAGTGGTTTCAGATTCCATAGGGTACTAAATTCATACATACTTCCTCTTTTATAGATATAGATATATATATGTATATATAAATCTAACGAAATTGAACAAATTGTGTTTTTGGCCTCTGGGGACATTGAAATGAAAAAGTAAATCGGTCCCAGGCCTAGGACTTTCCCGTGTCACCAACGGTAATAGCTTCTTCCCTATAGGGAAATTTGCTAAAATTAGAGTTTTGTCGGTACATTATTCACAATTATATATTTTTTGTTATTTTTACGTTTTATTCATTAAAGAAGCCGAAACAAGTCTTATCTCAATTTCTGTCTGTCTGTCTTTCACGGCCCAGAAGGAATTTTACGCAGCCTTCTCATGAAAAACGAGAGGATTGATTGGGATTAAAATAGTCTTTTTGTATTCACTGGAATGGCGAGAGTGTCTTTAGGCATTAAAATATGGCATCACTACTTTTGAAGTAAAATAACTGACGTCCAAAAACCCAGTTTTGTGAAATTTTTCTCAAGTTTTCTCCCAATATTTACCACCATTTATGAAATACTAATCATCTGTTTTATACGAAATCTATGAAACAACAAATAGCTGTTTGGATTAAGATTATTTTTTTAGCTTTCACTGATATGTTTACATTAAATGTTATATACAAATAATGCAAGCATTTCCAAAGATGTACCGGTATTGTATGAAAATCCAAAACCAAGTGATATTAAAAACGCTGTGCCTTAAATATGGGATTTAATTAATCGCAAGTGCAATAATGTGTAGGCCTAACTGTAAATAAAGTTAAATTGCTATGTAACATTCAGGTTGTTAACCAGAGATTGTGTGTGTGTGTGTGTGTGTATCAAATTGTACAGCTCGTTTTCAAATAAGCTGGAACTTAGCCTAGCATGGCCAGTGTAGGCGAGTAGGCGGCGGGTGGGTGGTAGTAAGGATAAGAGCGGACTGCAAACATTTCTGTTGACTCAGGGGGTTGATTCCCCTTGTTTCTCGTACTGAGCGCCTTCAGGAGGGTCGCGAGGGCAGTTGACGCAACCCGCATGACAGCATATGATTTTTTTTAGCTACTTGCTAGTAGCGATTGGTCAACTGCCAGCTAAGGTGTCACGAGCTGTACTTGAGTTTTGATAACCGGGAAAAAGACCCTGAATCAGTTTTGTATACGGCTAGGAAACTTACATTTTGTAGATCTCTGTCGCCAATAGCTTACAAAAGAGGTTTCCACTCATTGACAGCGCTTTGATGATTTTTTGAGTGAAGTAAAAAATCACAAAAACAGTTTGATTGCAGATGTTGCTGCAATCTTGGAAGATAGTTGTGATCCTAACAGAGGTTTAGATATACGGTACTGCTAACCTCACTTTTCCAATGTGTCACTTTCGGTTTCTGCTCACCGCTATTGCACTGCCATCCCTGCACCGTACCACTGCCAATATGTCTATGGCTCAATGATACGCTATGGTCCTATGGGTACTCAGGCCTACCAAATTGTCCGTAACCATATTTTAACATTGGTTTTTGGTACTGGTACTTTTCCTTCGAACCGGTGGTAGCGAGTAGCGTTAACCATTTCTAAGTACCATCACATCACTATTTACAGCTTAGTTATCGTTGTTGTTGCACCTTATTTCTTACAGTCATATTAAATTTAATTGATGTCTTACTGTATAAGTTTTACGTTTTCTGTCACATTTGAGTAAAACATTTTTTGAGCAAACCATCAAGAATTATTTACGCTTTACGTTGCCTATCAATAGTTCGTGGACTGTTAATTGTAAATTACCAATCTAAATCGTCTTTAGTACCTCATTTCATAAAGTATGCAGTCATTTCGACATTATTTCAAGTCATCTTGGGATTATGCAAACATAGATTGCTATTTGAGACGGCATTATCACTGCACGATAAGTACGATATGATAACATTTGATGACACTAACAAAGATGGCAAATACTTATTTTGCTTTACCTTGGTTAAAGCATAGTAAATGTCCTAATTAAATTATGTACTTTTGCGTGTATGTCTGTTGTTAACACATCAGAGTGCTTATTTATCAGTGTATTGCGAAAAAGACAAAACCTTTGTTAATGAAAATATCAACCGGAATAAAGTGTACAATGGTGAGGTAGTATTTTAACTACTTTAGCCAGTGTGGGAAGTAGTTTTCAATTTTACCTTAGGGCTATGCATCATAGATTTATAAAGCTGTTTTTTTTTTTTTTAGTTTAATCATTAGATATCAAATACAGACTAACAAGATTTATATCCGGGTGACATTTAATTCCTAAGCATGTTTTTTTTGCTTAAAAATGTCAGATGTTGTATTATTGCAAGGTTTATGTTTATGTGTATTCCTATAATAGTTTTGCCAGCATATCTGAAAAAATGCACACTAAATATGCAAACCAACTCCTGCCTGATTGTAAGAAGGTTTCAACTGACTACAAGATCCCAGTCCATAGAATGGGTACACAGCTATAGCTCGGCCGCTTAGAAAACGACCTGCGCGCTAATGCTAAACCAATGCTGGAGGAGGTCGTTTTCTAAGCGGCCGAGCTATAGTATAAATTTTAAATTTATGAATTTTCTTATTAATTTTCTTTTTCAAAGAGATTATATGGTGTCACCACTTTCATGCATGTTTTTTTCCATATAAAATATTAAAGTCTTGAAAAGGCTAGTGTAGTCTTTCGCATGGCTATCTGTGCAAAGAACTAATTTCTCTTCGATATTTTTGGATTTTATGTGAAAATTACTTCTGATCCCTGATGTTTAGGGATTCTAATCTGATGGTTTAGGCTATTCCTTAAAAATAGATGAAGGCCCTATCTTCTATATATTTAATACGCGACATGAAACTTTGTGAACAAAAAGGCTTTTTTATTTCAAGATTTAACCCCACATATTATATACCAAAATGTTCGTCTAGGTGTGAAGATGTGCAAACTGGCTTTAGATTTTCGAAATATATATTTTTAAGGGCGTGGGCTGCCCTCAAAGTTCCTTCCATAAGGATAACATTGTGATTGATTTGAATGTTATTATATTCTGAAACAGATGTCAATACATTAGTTTAAAAAAAGTTAAATCCCAGCTGTTTTGTTTGGTTTTGAAATGTAAACAGTTTGCATGTTTTTAAAAATAATTAGGAACCCGGCAAAGAAATGTTACCTATAGGACACGATGGGAGAAAAGTTTAACATTATATTTTCGTTTGAGCAAGCCAAGGACTCGACGACAAAGAAATATTGCCGGTCGGACACGGCGAGTCAACATACGGCAAGCAATGCAAAACGGAAGGAGCCTAGACGAAGAGCTGGAAAAGTTAGTGGCAACGTGTATTTACAAAATTACTCTGACAAGAACAAGAATTCAGCAGCATTCACTTGGCGAGATGGCATTAAAATGTCAGAAATGTGGTGCGCTACATTTTAAAGAAGAACAAAGAGGACGAGGTGAAGGATTTTCATCCTGCTGCCATAAAGGAAAAATGAATCTACCACCATACCAAGAAATCTATTATATTATGCGCAATGGTCAGCACTCGAGCTAAAATTTAAGAACATAACGGTGGAGAGCCTTTCATGTATAAGGTGCACGACACAATTTATCACCCAATTGTCACCTTTCAACCGTCAGAAGGGGAGCATCCCACATATGCCCCAATTTATACCTACGGACTTCCAAACCGCTGTTCAAGAAAGAATGCTAAACAAAGCTAATGGCTCTTGCAGCACTGACTCAACTTGATATTAACCCATACGCGCAAGTTTTCAGCATGATGAGCTCCGTCCTGCAAAATACCCCAACTGAACAGCAAAAAGAACTTAGAATGTATATAGCCAACGATCGAGCTCAAGACCAACGTCGATACAACGATGCAACTTCTAACGACGTTGCTATATTATCCTAATTTATTAATCATGCAAATTCGCACAGGTTCACCTAGTCCTACTTAACTTGATACACATCAGTTTCATTATACAGTAGACCCCCTCTTAACCGACCCTAATGGGACCGGACCTAGGTTTGTATAACTCAAAAGGTCAATTAAAACGGGCGATCCTTAAAATCATAACATAATGAAGTGCTATTCATTTGGAATTATATAATCATTATTTTGAAGCCATACTTGCATTATTTATAATACCCCCGCCGCAGCAAACCTGCAGACTTAGCGAATTTCCATTTGCCTGATTGGATTTAAACTAAAATGTCTCCTTAAAAATATCACATTTAGCCTATTCCCTGTTTAAACAGAATTACTGTAGTTTAATGAGTACTTAGGTTTGCTGCAACAGGGAGGGTAAAATGTTAAAAGGTAGGCCTACTGTGGTTTAGTAAGAAATTAATGTATTTTCCAAATTTGATCAAAATTATGTTCATAAACAAGCAAACTACAACAGTTGACTTATTCTCCATAAGAATAACATAAGAATTTTAAAATTACAATTTTTTTGAATTTTCTCCGTAACAATTAGGCGCATTATAACGCTTCAATATACTAAATTATTTGTTTTTTTAAGCTCTACAAAATGGTTTAAAAAGAAATTGTGAAATTTTGTGTTTTTAGGGTCAAAAAAGGGAAAAACCCATTTTTACCCCATAAAACCCCCCATAAACCCCCGTTCCCATAGTCCGATCATGCTGGTTCGCGAACTCATTCAAGTTTATCCCGCCTTACACCTTCAAACCAAATTTCATCAAAATCGGACAAAAATTACTCAAGTTATCGTGCGGATGGACACATATATATATATATATATATATATATATCTCTATATATAGATATATAAAAATTTGAACGAATGGTGTTTTTGGCCTCTGGGGACATCAAAATGAAAAAGTAAATCGGTCCCGGGCTTAGGTCTTACCATGAGACCTACGGTAATAGCTACTTCCCTATAGGGAAATTCGCTAAAATAAACTACTCTTATCTCCTTTTTTGTATTGATAGAAAAGTCACAAATAAACTAAAAAAAAAAAAAAACACTTAGTCTAATAGGCCTACTTTCAGTGGAATATACTAGGCAAGAGTCAATAAAAATTCTTACTTTAATAACTTTACTGTAATGTATTAATTGATGCTTTCCAAATCCATTCTAATATAGTACAGAACCTTCTGTCGAAATTAAAGATACAAGCAACCATTTTGTTACAAGACAGGATATTTATTTACACAAAAACTATCTTGACCTTGGAGTTGTTAACCCCCCTTCCCTGCCCTCCCTACAAGTTGCGTTATTTGATTACTCCAACAATAAGATAGTCTGTTCTCAAAATCGTAACGCACTTTATGATGTTATAAATTTGCCGCACAGATGTTCTGATCAGATCAGATCAGATGTGCTGATGATGAAAAACTGACAATAGGCTATGCTATATTTTTTGTGACCAATTCAAAATAACTTATTCTTAGTCATATCCTGTGGAGATAATCGTATGGTTCAGTTCTCATCGCCCAGCAATGGAACGGAAATGCCGAGATTCCTAGAAAGCGGCGGTTAAACCAAACTGCTCTCAAAGCAAGGTCGGTTAAAACAAACTATATTATTTTACGATCGAAGGCGGATAATCCGATTATCGGTTAATACAAGTTTGGTTAAGAGGGGGTCTACTGTAAAGCTAAACAACACTTACGCCCTTATTACATCTTCATTGTAGAAAATTGGTTTGATTTTGATGTTTGGAACAGGACGATCAAATTTCGGAGGAACAGAAGGGGGAAAGCTTCTGTAAACATCATACCATAGGGGACGATCATTTATGTTCATGGCTCCTGTTCTGATCAAGTTGGAAACTCTGAAAAAGATACAAGGATGATAATTGTTGAGTAGCCAGTATCCAGTGTATGGGAATAATTCAGAAATACTGTAATTATTAACTTAAGGAATAATTCTGGATGGTATAAAAAGCATGTAATATTAAAATGGATATTCTGTAGTTACTAATAGTAAACAAGTAAAAAATATACGGTATGCCAAAATTAGATTATGTTGCTAGCCTAGTAGACTAAAGCTTCTTGTACATAAGTGCAAGAGGTACCGGAATTTAGTCCCTAACCAACCAGTATATTTACACAAAAATTTGTACAATGCAGTTGTCTGCTTGCAATAAGTTAAAAAGAGGAGCTATCATATTAATCCAATACTTTTCCAAAGTCAATGCTACGTCCGTTTCTCCTAAATTAGATCTATTCAGTACTTGCAGTATTCATCTGGTTCATATAAATGAGAAATCTACTTGCAGTATACAAAGTCGATGGTATATCACATTTGGTCGGTGGTTCACATAAATGGAATTTTCAGTGGGCCTATCCAAAGTAAATGTTTCATCTGGTTCTCATAAATGAAATTTCTACTTGCAGTATCCAATGTCAATTATTTGGATTAGGATTGAAAATATGGAATGCCTGTTTGCAACAGTTGTTGCCAAAGCAAACCGATTTTGAGGAGACCTGATTTTGGCCCGAGACCCATAGGTAACATTTTTAACCTGACTTGAAGTAAACAAATCTAGTGTGCAGACTCCCTAAAAGTATCAATGCAACTAATGTAATGTATTAAACTATTTATTAGCTAGTGTCATAGTCTCCCAGGTTTATTTGCCGATTTGATCGTTAAAAGTCTTCGAGTCTCAAGTCTGGTCCCCTTCAACACTTCCTTCACTTATTGGAACATAAAAAAGTCACACGGAGCTAGGTCTAGTGAGTGGTAGATGTTCTAACACAGGGATCTCATTCTTGGCCAAAAATGCCTTAACAACTAGTGCAGTGTGGGCCGGGGCGTTGTCCTGATGATGAATCCACGACTTGTTCTTCCACAATTCTGGTCGCTTTCTTCGCACTCGCCTACGGAGGGTGGCCAAAACCCCAAGATAGTATTCTTTATTTAAGCTTTGACCTTCAGGAACCTAATTTACATACATAATTCCATGGATTCCAATCATCATGGCCTTGATTACGAGCTTTCTTCATTCGTAGTGAATTCAGACTCTTCCAATGCATTAATTGTCGCTTAGTTTCTGGGTCATAGGTAAAAACCATGATTCATCACACATAATAACTCTTTCCAACAGTTCATGATCTTCCCTAAATGTTTTTTAAGATGTCAGAACAGATTTCCATCCCGGACTCCTTTTGTTCCGGCGAGAGGATTTTTGGCACACACTTTTCTCTTAAAATTTTCAAGTCTGGAACAGAACGCCACTATCACAACGATACGATGTACAGCCATCGATTTTGTGGTGTAAGTTAGTGGATAGAGTGCTCGGCTGATATGCAATAGGTCCCTGGTTCGAATCCCATCGTTATATTTAACTTTGTGTCAAAGATTTTGCTTTGAATGCCATTTCTTCTTAACAGTACATCTTTTGTTGGAATTATTGACTATAATTTTATTTTATGAACAGAATTTAACCTTTAAGTTAATTGATTTTTTCATTATCAGCAAGTTTGGTTGGTTAGGTTAGGTTATGATAGCAACAGCCGGACGCCTAATTTGTGTCTACCCGGACGCGTATTCTTTGTGTATTAAGTTACCCTAATTAAGCCTCTGAGCAGGGCCGGCGAGAGCCATCACGGGCCCCTGGGCTCAGCGATCTCGGGCCCCATATTTACTTAATTTAATGTCCAGCCGTCTCCGTTTTGTCACACAAATAACTAACTTATAATAATAATGTTTGCTCACAGTTTCAGCTTTATTCATAGTCAAAACAATTAGGCCTAACTTAAGTCACAAATTTTTAGGCTATCCTACTTAGTGAACTGGAAAAACCATGCTGAAATTTTTTACTCAAGCAGATTATATGTAGCCTACAGAAAAAAAATTACATCCGACTGGGCTACCCCCCCCCCTCACCACCTCTAGACGGCCCTGCCTCTGAGGTTCTAAACTCCAGCTTAGAAGATTTAATCATATTTAACATGACTTATCTAGCCTAGGCCTACCTGGAAAAAATTGTTCCAATCTTCTCTAACCTGCTGTGGGCCATTCTAAAGAAGAAAATACGTAGCTTAGTAAAAAAATTGGAGGATCAAGAACCCAAGTTAGGTTACTAGGACCCTAGGTCTACTACTGTTAATTTTAATATTTTATGTTTTGATTAAAGATTATTGCATTAAAAAGCGTTGATTGTTCAATTTTATTTGCCGTCACAACTACTGAGTATCAAAAGCCCTTGAAAAAGAATTCATGACGAACTGTTTTCGTTTTCTTTCACACTATTTGTAACCTCAAAAACAAACAAACCAAACAGACGGAAACGGCAGACGGGCTCCGCTCGGGAGTCATCAGGAGGAGGCCAGTTGCACTGGCCACTGGCCCAAAGCCGGCCCAGTGGGAGTGGGAGTGGCCTTACTGGCCTTGGCCAGACTTCACCTTCAGTATCGTCATCGTCTCAGTCTGGACTCTCGCTCGAGTCTCAAACTTCTCAGTCTCGCAGTTCAGTCAGCACTCAACACTTCACTTAGCAGGACGTTCAGTCTAGTTCAGTTCAGCAATCAGCAGAGCCAGAGCCAAAGAATAAAAAACAGCTGGAAATAGTTATTTGTGTAACTAGTGGTGAAAGTGGCACTTTGCTGCACACGAGAGCAATGTTTACGCACGAGCCGCAGGCGAGTGCGGAATGATCTCGAGTGCAGCAAAGGCCTTTTTCACTCGTGTTACACATTATATTTTTCCTACAGTCACTATAAAACATAAATAATTAGTCTTTCAAACACTATACAACACGTTTTTAGGTTCAGCTAGCAACACAATTACACAAATGGTGCCCTGGAGAAAGTAGTACCCGTGGTCCGTATCACTCCGCTATTTTTCCTCGGCAAGAAATGTGCTCCGTCTTATGAGAATATAGTTCCGTATGTTTTTGTAATTTGAAGTGGTTTCCGCGCCTAAAAAAAATGCTTTAAAGGTATTTTCTTGTTTATTAAGACCGTAGGAATGTTTTTAAAACGTTTAAAAGAAAAGTCCAGAAAGTTCAGAAATTCCAAAACTATAAACACGAAATGACAGGTTAAATCGTAGTTATAATAGTCAATCAGCTGTTCATAGTATTATTATCTTTAAGTGTTGCCAACCTATTTCCAAGCGTACACGGATTACGTGCATAATAAAACCACGCTGTTTTGTGTTGTTTGGTTGGAATCCTGATGTGCGGCAAAGTATAAACCGTGCGGCAAAGTATAAACCGTACGGCAAAGTATAAATATGCAGCAATTAGCAGCTTTCTGTACTATAAACAGTACAGGGAAGCCAACTTTGTCGGGTGACTGTAGGAAAAGATTTTTTATCTTTTTAAGCCGATGGCTAAGGCTAGGCTATAACTTTTAAAAACCACGCCGCTTCGAGTTACACTATTTGTAATTGGCTCCTTTATGTCAATTTTTATTGATGATCAGTTATTTATACGTGTAAAATAATAAATCACCGTTTGAATAAAATATTTGTTTTGTTAAATTTTAAAGCACATAACGCATTAGTTTTAGTATTATTTTACCAATTACAAGTGCCATTTATATAGGAGAGGGCATCTAAGACAGAGTCAGCCTTTCTTCCATTTCTAATTATACTAGTTTGCTTGGTCGCAGCATTGTCGCAGGCTGGAATAAAAGTAATTAAGCTCACAATCTATTAGATTTTAAATATCTTCAGATTGGAATACTTACCATTGACTTTAAATATCATTTAAGAGAGTGTGCTTTATCTATGGTTTTATCATTGACTTTTGTATGCTATATAATATGTATTCATAAGGACTAGCTGTTGCTGATATATTTTTATCAATAAAATACATGGCATAGAGTTAGTATCCGTTTTTTTAAATATTTTTTATTGGTAGGTGGAATGCGTTATGCACTTCCCGATACGTTGAGCGCACCTCCTGGAGCGACAGACGTGCCAGGGGAGTGTGGGACTCCTACAGGTTGCCCTGTAGTATACCCACTAAACCACCTACAGTCCTCTGTCCATGAGCTCGGGAGAGTGGTCGCAGCGTAGCAGGCTGGTGCTGTGCTGCTTGAAGATCTTGCTGGGGTTGTTATCTCTAGAAGGGGTCTCTCGCAGGTGGGGCGGCGGATGACACGTCGTGCTCCGCTGATTCTGGGTGGCCGTGCTTTTTTGCCATCCCCGTTAGATTAAACCTAAGTACTCATTAAACTTAGGCTGTTTAAATAGGGAATAAATGTAAATGTGACATTTTAGTGTAAATCCAATCAGGCAAATGGAAATTCGCTAAGTCTGCAGGTTTGCTAAGGCGGGGGTATTTTATATTGTGTGTCTGCACCATTTGGCCTTTTTATTTTTTTTTTATTGGAGCCATACTACAAACAACTGTCTTGTCACTATCTAACATAGATTTTTATGCGGATAGCTTTATCTTTGATATCCTAATAATGAAGCAATTGGCATTTTTGTGTTCAGTAACGATGACGCTTGGAATAAAATCTTTTGCTAAAATAATAAAATAATCTGCTAAAATAATAGAATAGAATAAAATCATCGCAAGGGTCGAAAATGAAGGACACTGCAAGCCACTATTTATCCAATATAAGATCCTACTCTATCCTCCCAAATACATCCTTGACCCAATCATTGCCATCAAATTAGATCCCCCACAAAACCAAACGAGAATGCTATAAATACGTATTAGGTCAGGGGCAAATCTCAACCAAAACCAACACAGACTATACAGAACAAGTAAAACCCCTACAAACATGGAAACAACACTATAACTCTCTTCCTTAAAACATAAAATCGATAAACGAAACAAAATAAATCATCACTAGCCTTAAGAAAATACATCCTAAACTGGCCATACTACACTTACCACATGGCTACCCAGATAGTTAAATATTTTGCCTGATTACGCTGTGTTCCTATTAGGATTGTAAACATGTTCAAATAACTCTCAAAATGTATAAAACAGCTATTTAGAAAATGATTAATTTGATGTTCATTTGAAAACTTTCCATATCTGTTGTGTGCAAAGGTAAGGCTTTTAACACTTGTTTGTTCTCATTTCCCCCTAATTTGGACATGCCAAATCCAATAAAATTATTTTCAATTTCGAAAAATGCCCCAAAAGGGCCCAATTTGGGGGGTAGGGGTGCTTTTTGAGAAATTTTCAAATGTAAACATGGGTTGTGTGATACATCAATTTAAAGGTCTAATCACCCCGACTATTTTGGTGCAATAAAAATGTAATTATCTTTAACCGTATTTACAGGGTGGGTCAAAACGTTTTTAAAAAGGACTTTGAAGTTAAGTGCCGTATTACCCAAACTACTGAACGGAACAGCGCCAAATTTCTTTCCAAGCTTATTCTTGATCTACTCTTTAAGATAACTTGTAATAAGGGCATTTTCCATGTTATCTTCTAATTTTTAAAAAATCTCAAATTTTAAGAATAAAAGAAAGGTGAAAACTCAAAATTCTTAAATAGCAAGGTATAACAAATTTCATACCACGTGAAAGGTCCTTTTTTAACAAACATTTTACGTATTTAAGTTTTCTTTCTATCTCTTACCGTTTAAAAATTGCAGTAGAAAAATTGAATTTTCTATGGTAAAATTATAACTAGTTTTCTAACAAAACACATTGCACTTTGCTCAACGATGTATTATGATTAATTACAAATTGATCAACTACTTTTACTTGTGTCAGTTCATCTTGGACCCTTCATCCTGTTTTTTTCTCATTGGGAACTGAGCCAGTTTCAGAAATTTCTTAACAAAATCATTTACAGCTTTATGACTTAAGGTCTTACCTGGATATTTATTGTTAAACACTTTGCAGTTATCCTGAAACACTTTTGTTCTGCCCAATAAGTAAAAATAAAGTATATTTTTTTAAGTGTACGCCATATTCGATTAGATGCTACAGAAAATAGTACTTTTTGAAATTAGTACTACCGTTGACTAGTCAATGGTACTACAGAAAGCAGCCCACATGTAGGTTGTCCTCATCAGCTATAAGACTTGTTTTTCACAAATTAAAACGTAATGACTTGTTTGTCAATCAGGGTATCAATAATTATGAATTGTTTCCTTCAGTTAATGCACCATTAAATGTGTCTAGAGACGAATTTTGGCTGTTTTATTAGAAAACTAGTTACAATATTACTATGGAAAATTCAGTTTTTCTACTGCAATTTTTAAACGGTAAGAGATAGAAAGAAAACTTAAATACGTAAAATGTTTGTTAAAAAAGGACCTTTCACGTGGTATGAAATTTGTCATACCTTGCTATTTAAGAATTTTGAGTTTTCACCTTTCTTTTATTCTTAAAATTTGAGATTTTTTAAAAATTAGAAGATAACATGGAAAATGCCCTTATTACAAGTTATCTTAAAGAGTAGATCAAGAATAAGCTTGGAAAGAAATTTGGCGCTGTTCCGTTCAGTAGTTTGGGTAATACGGCACTTAACTTCAAAGTCCTTTTTAAAAACGTTTTGACCCACCCTGTAAATACGGTTAAAGATAATTACATTTTTATTGCACCAAAATAGTCGGGGTGATTAGACCTTTAAATTGATGTATCACACAACCCATGTTTACATTTGAAAATTTCTCAAAAAGCACCCCTACCCCCCGAATTGGGCCCTTTTGGGGCAATTTTCGAAATTGAAAATAATTTTATTGGATTTGGCATGTCCAAATTAGGGGGAAATGAGAACAAACAAGTGTTAAAAGCCTTACCTTTGCACACAACAGATATGGAAAGTTTTCAAATGAACACCCTGTATAATCAAAGACTTAAGCAAAGTTAAAATATGTTTCATACTCTTTGGCTTGGTTGTTATTTTTCCTTTTCCCACATAATTTTTATTAGTTGTTGGTAGTTTGAGGGACATTGTTGCGTTGCGTTTATGCGTTTCCTCTTCCTTCATGCTAATGAACACTGAACGGTAACTTTAACTTATAAACTAAAATAATTTGAGGACTGTAGAGTCACGTAGGGTGTACAGTGGACAGTTTTGATTTTGTGATTTGTTTTGTTTAGTCTAAAAACAAGGTCTCATGTCAATCTAACATCATTAGTCTTACAATATATCAACAAGTGAAAAGTATTTAATTCTTGTGTTACGTTATCGTGTCCTTATAACCCTCATTAACTTACTTTACCAGAGGCACAAATTTAAATCGATTGCACTAAACTTATAATTTATACCTATTGGTTGTTTCAGAGTTACAGTGAGTAAGTATTATCCTAGATGCTTAAAAAGGTTACAGTAGGCCTAGGCCATAGGTTAGTTAGTAGGGTCCACTTCATAAACCTAAAATATAATAGGCTATATAGCTGTGGGTAAAATTAACTTATTGGGTCCAACTAAGTACTGTAAGTTATTGGCCTAACAT